TCAACCCGGCCTGACACCACACGAATGGAATCAGACGATCTATGGCCTATCATGTCTGGTTTCTTTCACTTAACTCTGTTTCCAGGGCTCACCCACCTGGTACTTCACTCCTTTTTATGGCTGAATAATGTGCCTAGTGGCACTGTGGGGTGAGTGTTGGGCTGCTGCCAGGTCAGTGGTTTAAACCCACCAGGTCCTCAGAGAGAGAAAGGTGAGGCTGTCTGCTCCCATGAAGATCGACAGCCTCCGAAACCCTATCCAGGGTCTCTGTGAGTCAGAATGGTCTCTACAGTGGGAGTTGGTGGAACGCAGTGAATTATTTAACGTAGCCCTTCTCGCCAGAGTCTCTGTCACTCCTGCCACACAATCTGTGTTTTCTGGATGGGTCTGGGTCAGAAAAGGTTGGGGGGAGACACTGCTGGGATTCGGTGGTGGGTGACTGTTAACAGGGTGGTGATTGCCATCCTTTGGATATAAAAGGAACTAAGTCACAAGCAGAAAGGGGAGTGGTGGGGGTGGTTCTACTACCAGCAAGAGAAGAGCCAGCAGTGGAGGGCCTCTTATGGACCCCAAGATCCCTGCATGTTGAACCTCCCTGATCCAGGAGACAGCTTTGATGCCAGAGGGACACCACAGAACCAAGGAGCCAGAGTGGTGGGCTTCCCAGCCCACAGAGCAGGTAGGACAGAGTGCTTGGGGGCAGGAGCCTGGCTTGTGAAGTAAGGTGCTACTGGGCACTTAATTGGGGGAGCTGGGTTTGCTGACCCACAGAGGTGGAGCCAGTTACCTCTGGACTGAGGCTTCTGGCAGCGCGTGCCCTTTGGGTATGTATTGGCATACTGAAAAAAGCTTAATAAACTTCATAATTGTGAGCATTGTCTGTGAGTTCTGCGTGGCTACTGCAGTGAATGAAGTATAGAACGGAGCAGGAAAGCACATTGTGAGCTGTAAGAGCCCCCAATAAAGTGATTTATTAATTTAAAAAAGAAAAAGAAAGTACATTGCGGGGAGAGTTGCCTGCTGTGGGAGGAAGGTTGGCGTTAGAATAGGGTTGAAAGGGATGGAGGGTGGAGGCATGTCTGACTTCTGCCTTGTGGCAATCGGCCTTGGGAGCCAGAGAAGGTCAGATGTGTCCCCCATGCCATTTCCACAATGGCCTCAGGAGTGGGATTGGTTGCGATGGCTCCAGACTCATTGGAAGTATGGGACATTGTAAGAGGAAGAATGGAAGGGTATGGGATATAAAATTTTCTATTCTTGGATGGTGACTTTGATGATTGTTACCTGCAATGGCTGAGAGGAGTGGACAAAATGGTATGTGGCTGCTGAAGAAGGAAAAGCTGCTTCTGGAGTGGCCTAGGGCAAAAGTCAGGCTGATTACGCAATGCAGGCTTGCTAGGGGACCGAGGTCTACTGATCCCACAGAGCAAAAAGCCCAAGGCCATGTTCACATAAATGGAGACACACACAGTTCAAGGGTAGGCAGGAGAAGATTAGATTCAGATATAACTAGAAGGATTAAGTGCTGTGTCTTTATCGAATAAGAACACATGGTACCATAGTGGGTTACTTGTTGGGCTGCTCACCACAAGATCAACAGTTCAAAACCAACCATCAGCTACCCTGTGGGAGAGAGATATGCTTTCTATCCTGGTAAAGAGTTACAGTCTCGGAAACTCACAGGGGCAGTTCTACTCTGTCCGGTAGAGACACTATATGTCAGAATTGATTAGATGGTAATGGGTTTCTTTGTTGTTATTTTTTTACGGTAATATGGATGTTGAATGTTTCTCATACCTAGTATTATAGAAATGGGCCTATACATGTGATGGAAAGCAGTATGATTATTGTGATTACAGGGAGGTTGTTAGAGCATCTTCAGCTTGTAGCTGATTGGATATGCTAGAGGAGGAGTGAGGAATTGGCAGGAAGAAACAGGCTTTATTTTAAACCAGAAGCTCGTGTCGAGTCAAGGCCTTCGATGGAAACTTGATCACCACCCAAGACTGCCGAGAAAACAGGAGATTTACACTTGTAGGAGAGACCATGAAGACCACTTGTAGAACAGACCATTAAGAGGTTCAGCAAGCAGGACGGGTAAAGGTGAAAACCATTTGGGGGTGGTTTCTACCACAAAGTCGGCAATTTGAAACCAGCAGCCACTCTGTGGAAGAAAAGTGAGGCTTTCTATGTAGCGTTCCAGTGTTGGAGGGCCTCAGGGGCAGTTCTACCCTGACCTACAGGGTAGCTGTGAGCCGGAATTGACTCTCTGACAGGGAGTTTTGTCTTTTGAAACTGCCTGAGAATAACTAAATATGAGATTCCGGAGGCGGAGTAAGAACATGGACTCTGAGGCCGTGTCCCCAGGAGGGAGGAAGCCCCACTACCTCTCTGTGCCTGCGTTCCTGACATCCTGGTTCCTTACGTCCTTGTTTGGAGGGTCATTCAAGCTCTGACTTGTCAGGTTCCTTCAGAGCAGAGGTTTCCAGAGAGGAGAGTGGAATTTGAAACCCCAGTGTAGGGCCCTGGAGGCCTTGGGAGGGAAAACAGATCTGCCAGAGGACAGAAAGCCAGATGGTAGAAAGACAGGCAAAAAGAAGTAGGGTCAGGAGGGGATGTCTCCACCAACTAACACCGCCCCCTCACCCCCACCCCCGGGGTCAGATGTTGAGGGCTGGAGATGGACTCCTGGAAAACTGGCATTCCCCACAGATATGCTCCATTTCCCAAACCTCATTTTGTTTCTTTAGAGCACTCCTGTTTTCACGGAATGATTTGTGAGTTGTTCAGAGCCTGCGTAGGATTCTCCTGATACACGGTGTGCAGGACACCCGGGGAGTGTTTTTTGTTCACTGTTGTACACAGCTCATTGACACACACATGCTAGGGCTATCTGATCAAATACAAGTGTCTTCAAATCGGATGGAGTGGAAAGATAAGGCTTTCTATTCAGGTAAAGAATTAGGCTCAGAAACCCAGACGGCATTTCTGCCCTGCCCTATAGGCTCCTTATGAGTTGGCACTGAGTTTGGTTTGGTTTTTTGTTTTTTTTTCTTCTCTTTTTTAACATTTTATTAGGGGCTCATACAACTGTTATCCCAATCCATACACACATCAATTGTGTAAAGCGCATTTGTACATCATTTCTCAAAACATTTTCTCTCCATTTAAACCCCCGACATTAGGTCCTCATTTTTCCCCTCCCTCCCCGCTCCCCCCTCCCGCATGAGCCCTTGATAGTTTATAAATGGGTATTTTGTCATATCTTGCCCTGTCCGACATCTCCCTTCATCCACTTTTCGGTTGTCTGTCCCCCAGGGAGGAGGTCACACACAGTTCCATGTAATCGGTTCCCTCTTTCCTACCCATTCTCCCTTTACCCTCCCTGTTTTGCCACTCACACCACTGGTCCTATAGGGCTCATCCGTCCTGGATTCCCTGTATTTTCAGTTCCTATCTGTACCAGTGTACCTCCTCTGGTCTAGCCAGTCTTGCAAGATAGAATTCGAGTCATGGTAGTGGGAGCGGGGAGGAAACCTTTAGGAACTAGAGGAAAGTTGTATCATTGTTACATTGGTTTGGTTTTGAAATAAGAAACCTTGCATTACCTTTGAATTCCATTTTCCCATGGACTTCCCTCACAAGACCAATTAAATTTGAAGTTGAAGTACAGTGTGTACATATGGAAAAAGACACCTCAACAGCGATCCCATTTGTTTCTCTCAAATTTAAGTTGAAAGGGGCTGCCTGAAGTTTCTGCAAAATTAGGCAATCTTGGAAAAACAAAAGCAAACTCATTGCCATCCTAGCAACAACAGAAACCCTCACTACCACTGGGTTGGTTCTGACGCATAGTGATTCTATAGGAATCACTGCCCCTGTGGATTTCCGAGACGAACTCTTCCTAAGAACAGAAAGCCTCACCTTTCCCCCATAATCGTAGTAGTCGGGACTTGATAAATACAGTCTTCATATAACAAACGTAGACATGGATTTTAATCTTGGCTTTGCTTTAAACTCGTCATGTGATGTTTTTGGGCAAGACCCTCCCTCGGAGCCTCAGTTTACCCATCTGTAAAATGGGAGTTTGGGCAGTGGCCCAGAGCAGGGCCCGTCATTGCAGGGCAGAAAGGGGGCTTCGATGCACACTGTCTGTACCCAATACCCGGCCTCCTGCTGTGGGGCCGGTGGAGCCCCAACTCTCCCGCCTGGGAGGCTGCGGCCAGCAGGAGGCCGTCGCTATGGAAACGTAGACAGCCTGGAGCCCCTCCCCCGAAAGGTCACGCATTTCCGCTGCGTTGTAGCCTTCTGATTGGACGGCCGCCTGGACGCTACCACCAGCCCGAAACCCGCTAAGGGGTGGGGGCGGGGCCTCATCCTCGTGGGGCTCGACCCCTGAGGACCTGTGCACTTGGCCACTCTGGGGGTGGGTGGGTCTCCTCTCCCTCACCGGGGTGGGGGTGGAGGTAGGGGGTCGGAATGAGTCTCTCAGGTAAAAGAATTGGCCAATGCTTGTCCTTCTAGACTAGAGCTACGTTCGTGTGCCTCTCCCCCCAAAAAAGGATGAGGCGGCGGGAAAGTCGGCAACGCCCCCTCCGGAGCCCATTCGGTCCCAAGTCTGAGGCACCGGAAATGCTGGCGACGTGTCACTGCGCTCAACCCTAAACCTTCCCACCCCCACCAGGCCACCTTTCCCATTCAGCGGCGGGATTCCGGGGCCGCCCGGGCGCTGCACCCCACCACTTCCGCATCGAACCGCCGCTTCAACCGAACTCCCTCCCTCTGCGCGCGCTCCATCTCTTGCCCGGCGGTTGGGCCGGCGCCTGGGAGTGGCCACGCCCCCTCCCGTTCCTGGCAGCCAATGGGCGGGTGGCACCCGGCGGGGTGGTGGGTAATTAATGAGGACTGGGCACTGATTGGCTGCAGGGTTATGGCCGGGGGCCGGGCGGCGGGGTAGGTTGTACCTGAGGTGGGAGGTGGCACCGTTGGCTGAAGAGAAGGAGGCCTGAGAGCGACATGCTCCCGGCAGCTGAGGCAGGGCGGCCCGTGGCTCTGCTTTACTGAGTCCGGGGTGGCTTGGCCGCCGGCCGAGGACGAGGGTCGGCAGGGGCTACCCTCGCGGTGGTGCCCGCCATGCTAGAGGCCCGGGCGGCTGAGGGAGCCGCCGTGGCGCTCCTGCGACTGCTGCTGCTACTGCTGCTGCCGGCGCTTCGGGGGCCAGGGCTCGGCGTGGCCGGCGCGGCGGGGGCCGGGCTGCCCGAGAGCGTCATCTGGGCCGTCAACGCCGGTGGCGAAGCGCATGTCGATGTGCACGGGATCCACTTCCGCAAGGACCCTTTGGAAGGCCGGGTGGGCCGAGGTGAGAGCCCCTCAGCCGGGCGGGCCTGCAGGAATGCTGGAAACTGGGGGCGGCGGGCCGCGACCCCCATGCGTCGAAGTTTCTCGCTGCAGTTTCCCCGGGGACCTCGCCAGGGCCCAGAATCTGGCCGCGGCTCAAAGCTGCCGAGAGCCATTGAGGCAGAGTTAGGAGAAGTTATTTTGGGAGCTCTCCTTCTGTGATTTCTCAGCCTTTCTTTTCTCTCCTCCCCACCCCCCCAGCTGGGAAAGTAGAGTCGGGGCGACCTATTGCCACCGCGCGAGGCCTCCTGCCCGGGTCGAGGTTATCGATCTGCGCCTCCTACCCTCTTTTGCCCACTCCTGCTCCCGACAGCCCCTGGTCAGAGCCCTCATCGACAGAAGCGGGCCTGGACTCTTAGCGAAACGAGAAAGGAATCTTGGAAGAAGATGGGCCAGGAAAGTTTGATTACCGCCTCCGCCACCGCCCCCCTCCCCTTTGGAGCGACTACTCATATCTGTGCTGAAAAGTAGAAGCGGTTAGCCCTTTCCACAGGGTCTGTACAGAAGCCACCCTGCCCATGAGGTTGGCCGTGGGTGTCAGCTGGGCCACCTGGTGTGAGCTCCAAATATTCTGCCTGGGAGAGAGCCCATAGAACCAGGCCCTGCGAGGTTGGAGGCCAGCCGATGGGGCAGATGATTGGCAGTTAACTGGTTGAGCAATACGGAGCCTCGGGGTTGCCGGGGTGGGGGTGGGGGTAGATGTCAGGTGGCTAACCTCAAAGTCAAGCTGTTCAAGTCCACCCGCTACTCATTTGGAGGGGAGAGACTGCTCCCGAAAAGATTCACATACTTGGAAACTCTATTAGGGCCTCTGTGAGTTGGATTGACTGGGGGGAGGGGGCGGCGGTGGGGGGGTGTAGTATGTTTGGGGTGAGCAACAGCCTTTTTCTTATAAGGCTGCATGGAGGAGCTGGTGAGTCTCAGATTCCCAGTCCTCACACTGGACCCTAATCCTTTAAGCTCAAGGGCTACCCACCCATCTGGCCGCCCTCCCAGACCACTCTTGGGGTCATCTACTCTCTAGATGGCTTCTTCTGGTAAGAAGGCCTGGAACATGGATTTTAAAAGGCATGCCCTTGTTTCCTGTATTGGAAGGAGATTGAGACCTTGTGATAAATTCAGAGAAGGCCCCAGGGGCACAGCACTTAAAGTGCTTGGTTGTAAACCAGTGAGGTGAGCAGTTAGAAAGACGTCCTGAACAAGCCCTGCCTTGGAAAACCCTACATAACTCATCGCCATCCAGTCGATGTCAGCTCATAGTGACCCTGTAGGACAGCCGGCCTGCCCTCATGGGTTTCTGAAACTGTAATTCTTCACCGAAGTAGAAAGCCTCCTCTCACTCCCTGGAAACCTTTTGAGGCAGGGCAGTTCCACTGCCCTGTAAGCTCTCTTGGAATCGAACTGATGAAAATCAAGTTTCTTGGGTTGGGGAGGTAAAGTAGGAGCCGTGGTGGGCCAGTGATTAAAGCACTCAGCCATGCAATGAAAGGTGGGTTCGAACCCACCAGCCAATTGATGGAGCAGAATGTGACACGATGCCTCCATAGCAGTTACAGCCTTGGAAACCCTAGAGCCAATTCTTCTCACCCAATAGGGTCAATGGGCAGGATTCAGAGGCTGCTAAATTGGGTCTGTGTCACCTCCAGACAAATAGGCAACAAGATGCTCAGGTTTGGCTCTTGCCTTTGACTATCGAGTGTCACTCATTTCTTCCAAGTGAATTACCGTGCCCTGTTGGGGAACCATCCACATTTACACACCTGAGGGCCAGGGGCTACAGGGCTGTTTACCTGAGGTTCCCTTTGGCCCTGGTGTGGGGAGTTTCAGTAGCCTGGGTTAAGTTGAGGCAGGGCCCTGGTCTTCAGCGGCTGCCTGCTATCTTCATCATGGAGCCTTCCTCCTTCCGTGGGGCTGGGCAGGGAGGAAGCTGGAGGCCGTTTGTGGACTTTGCTCGTGAGATAGCTGTGTGAGGAGCAGGCAGATGGCCCCTTTCACTTAGCCCCCAGCAGGTTTTATGTGGTGTCATGGTCCTCAAGAGGCCCAGCTCTGGTCCCCAGCTTCAGCCCTCATTCAGAAAACAGTCTGGGTTGAATTTGCTGGTTCGTTTGTTTGTGTTTAGATTGGCCCCAAATCTGCCAGGCTCTCTCTGCCTTTGCGCTATAAGTACCTGGTTGGAGTTTGCTACGGCAGTTAAGAGATTGGGGCCCAGGTGCGCTGAGGTGTCATACCCCTCTCTGCCCACCTGGTTATGAATTGAAGCAGTAGGAAGGTGGGGGCGGGCCATGAGGGGTGGTCACGGTGCAGCTTGGAACAATGTGTTAAACGTATACCTCTAAGGTTCTCCCAAGGAGCCTTTTGCAGGGCTAGGCGCCCTGGAGGTGCAGCGATTAAGCAATCAGTACTCAATATAAAGGTTGGCTGTTTGATCTCACCCCTGGAGAAACCTAGAAATCGACTCCTGTAAAGATTACAGCCTTAGGGATACCCTGTAGGAGTCCTGCGAGTGGAGATGGACCCAATGGCACCCAAGGACAGCTCCAGGGCTGAGATTGCTGCAGCCTGGCTCTAGTTCCTACCTGTGCAGGGAAGGGTGGCTGTGTGCTCCACCTTCCTGCCTCTGCCCTGTTTGCATCCGGATGTGTTGGGTATCTGGAGACCCTGGCCCACAGCAACTGTGTCCACTCATCGCCGTGGGAGCCATGTACATGCATTTGTTCGTTCGTTCCCACATGCCCATGGTATTTGCTAAGGAAAGTTCATTTTATGTTGAATGAATTCAGGTAATTGTTGCCAAATGAGGCCAGATAAGATTCTGGCCTGCTTTGGAACTTGCTGTTTCTTTACAGTGTCTTTTGTAGTGGAGGGCTCTGGTGACGGTGAGTGTCCCAGGGTCCCATAGTGCCTTCTGCTCTCACAGGCCATGAGTTCATTGACATGTTCTGCCTGGAGGATCACTTGTGCTCACAGGGGATTCTGGTGACCTGGGAGCAGGCAGCGCATATGTCCTCAAATGCAAGGCCTGAAAGTGGGCCAGCAGTGCTCGCTGCTGGACAGCCCAGCCTGGGCTCCTGCTGCTCCGACTGGGATCAACCTGGTTATTTGGCCTGAAGGCAGAGCACTTGGCGCGGTCTTGGGGCAGAGCTCTCTTCATAGGAAGGTGCCTGTCAGCCAGTATGACCTTGAAGTGCCCACTTTCCTCTCGGAGCCATGTTTTCCTTCTGTGTCAAACTTGCCACACTGCAGAAATCCATGTCCTGACTTCTGAAAACTCTTCTGTGCAGAGTAGGTGAAAGTGCCTCTATCTTTTATTCTTTGGTATGATGACCTTTCACTGGAATGAAGTCGGGTAGAAAGTGGTTTCAGAGTGGGGTAACACTCTGGCGGGGTCCCGGGCCTATTAAGTTACTAATTCCCTGGCTCTGAAAAGACCCTTTGCCGGGCAGCCTTCCTTCCAGCTGGGGCAGGCTTTGGCCTTGGGGAGGTAGGAGCCTGAGAGTGAAGAGTCCTGTTCCCACCCTCTCACCTGAGAGAGCGTAGTTCTCTGCAGGCCTTCCCAGGAGCAGAGTCCACAGGTAGTGAACTCAGTATGGAGAAGATTCTAGTGGTTGGGTGTTGGGTAGAGGCTCAACAACGAGCAGTAGGCTGTGTTGACACCCAGAGGTGGTCTCCTGTAGGATCGGGGGTCCTGGGTCCTGGGCATTCTGGCTACCCCAGGTCTGCAGCTCCCAGCCCAAGGTTCTAGTTGGCCTTATTGCTTCCCTTCTTCTGACTCCCTGGGTGATACCTCTGGATATAGCTCCTGGTAGATGAGTGTGCCTGCCTGGTCCCTGTCTCTGTGTGAGGCACTCTTTCTTTAACCGCCTGCCCCATAGTGCGTTCTCACTCATAGAACTGTGCTTCCTAGGGTTTTGAAATGATGGATTTATCCAAAGCAGCTCATCAGGCCTTTCTTCCAAAGTGCCTCTGGGTGCACCCTTACCAGCAACCTTTAAGAGCCTCCACTTAGCTCTTTACAGAGCCCTGGTGGTGTTAGGCGTTCGGATGCTAACCACAAGGTCAGCAGTTAAAAACTACCAGCCTGTTCCTCAGGGACGAGAAAACGAGGCTTTCTGCTCCCATCTAGAGTGGCAGTCTGGGAAACTCACAGGGCGCTTCTACCCTGCCCTGTAGAGTCGCTACAAGTCAGAATGGACTCCATGACAGTGAGTTTTTGAGAAGCTCTTTACAGATGTCTTTTGTTCCTTGTCCCCAACCCTGGAGTAGGTGACAGCCCCACTTTACAGGTAAGAAAACAGACCTAAAGATCTGTCTTGCACAACATCACCTAGCGGGTGGCAGAGCCAGGACTGAAGTCCTTGCGTATTTTCCTGTAGATCCTGAGCGCTCTTTTCCAGGTAGGCTGATTGCTCCCTAGCTTAGGACTGGGAAACCACAGACACACTATAGGCTCTTCCCCGTCCCCATTCCCACCCCCTCCCTTCCACACCCTGGTGGTGGTGGTTAGCTGCCCGACTTGAGCAGGGTGCTGCTGGTATAGCGTGCTTTGGTAAAATCTTGTAGCCATGAATGCAGAAAGATGAAAGAGAGAGGGAAAATTCCTTTTTTGCCCTCTCCCCTTGGGATGTGGGAAAATTCAACTTTACATGTTGTAAACCTCTTGGGAAAGCCACTTGGGCTTTATAGGGAAAATGTTTTAAAGGTAACTCCAAAGTGGTTAGGCAATTTTTGGTTCACATGGCTGAGTTTTCATCACGATGGGGCTGTCTCTCTCAGTTTTTCCACTCGGTAGGAAAAATTGTCCACACACACATGCACAAGAACGTCTGTGTGTCTATACATCAAATCTAGGGACTGTTCTAAATTTGCAAGGTCACGGTCCTGGTGGAAGCAGGGAATTCTTGGAGCTAAGTTGGAAGGAAACTGGCAGCCCTTTAATCTTCATAGGTTTGTGCCCCAGGGTCATGGTCTTTTTTTGAGCCTGGGAAAGAGCCCGGTGATAGCAGCAGCCCCTCCTTTGTAGTGCTGCTCCCTGCCCTTGTTGGATTTGTTTTCTGGGGAGAAATAGGATGACAAAAAAGGCTGAAGACAACAGGCAGGGAGTTTCCTGTTGTGTGGTCTCATCTGTCTTCCTATCTGGGTAGCTCGCCTTAGCTTCAAGGGGTGGTTCACTTTGTGCTCCTGTTTTCGAGGACTTGAGTTCAGTCCCTAGGGCTCTCAGTGGATCCTTTGCCATGTCCTGCCTCTTGGCCCATCAGAGGTACAGAAGGAAAGCTCTCTTGGGCAACTCCTGAGAACCCCAGTGCCGAATGTCTTCCGAGTTGCCTTGTGGCATCGGAAGGTGCTTTTGAGGTTCTGCATTCCAGGACAGAGTAGGTGCTGGGTCTGGTTTGGAAAGTAGATCTGTGGTGCCCTGGAGAGCCCTGGGGTTGTACTTGGGGGCACGCTAAACTGATAACTGCAGGCCAGCAGTTTGAATCCAGCAGCTGCTCCACAGGAGAAAGATGAGGCTGTCTGTTCCCGCAGAGAAGGATAGCGGCGGAAACCCACAGGTGAGCCGTGCTCTGCCCAGGAGGGTCGAGTAAGAGCTGCTCTCTGGGGGGAAGCAGAGCCGTTGCCTGTTTGTGCTGCACGGTGGAGTTGCTGGGAGGAGACAGCAGCTCTGTTTGATGAGTGGGAGGGGAAGGGTGCTCTTCTGACACTGGCTGCAAGTGGCCTTGCCTCACTCCTTGTCAGTGTGGAAGGAGCCCTCCCCTCCCACCCGGAGCAGGAGTGTCTTCAGCCAGAGGTGCCAACAGCAGCTGGGCTGATGCTGTGACTCTGTTTCCCAGCTTTGGTGGAGCCATTGCCGAGCAAACCCCCACTCCCCTCCCCCAGCCCCATCTCCAAGGCCAGGCTGTCAGTGAGGCTCCTGAGGAGTCAGAGCTTTTTCCCTGCCTTTGGAGTTACTCCCTTGATGTTCCGAAGAGTAGGTGAAGTGGAGTTTTTGTGATGCTGTGAGCACTAAGTGCTAGAATTAAAGGTAATTAGAGAGCATCCAGCCGTCACTGTGGCTACCTATCTCTTCACCGGCCTGGGAGCTTTTTGAATGAAAATTATTTTAAAAGGAAAAAAAATTGTATCTTCTTTGTACTTAATTAGATACCCTGCTTGTCTTAGACCCTTTTCTGAATAAGGAAAAAACATTGTGTGAGTGTTGGCATGGCTGTCTGTGTGGAGCTCCTGGCCACCTCACTTTATGAGACTGCTCTGAGGTGCGGCCCCTGGGGCCCCGCTGTCTGCAGTAGATGCATTATGTTGGAGATACCAAGAAAGTTCAAACCTTCTACTCTGAAGGTTATGGGGGCAGTTGGGACAATTCTGGGGAGCTTTCTTTGGTCTAGCACCTCCTTGGTAATGGCCTCCTGCTTTCCTGTCCCCCAGCCTTTGTGTCTGGGCCCTTTGGAGCCAGGTGCAGAGAGGCGGGCCAGGAGTTTCACCCCCGGAAGTGGCTCTGGCCGCCCTGGGGTCTCTGCTTTTCTTTTGGGCCTTTTCTCTGATGTGCTTGTGTCTCTTGTCGCTAGCTTCAGACTATGGCATGAAACTGCCAATCCTGCGCTCCAATCCTGAGGACCAGATCCTGTATCAAACCGAGCGGTACAATGAGGAGACGTTTGGCTATGAAGTGCCCATCAAGGAGGAGGGGGACTACGTGCTGGTGCTGAAGTTTGCTGAGGTCTACTTTGCCCAGTCCCAGCAGAAGGTGAGGCTGCTCAGGCCCCGGCTGGGTCAGGGGGATGGTGCCGCTCATGGATAGTCCTTCGCTATGGGCCAGAACATGTAAGAGCCTCCTAAGAAGTAAGAAACTGCCGAGTTGGGAGGAAATGCCTAATTGTTTGTGTCTCCAGAGAACCTCGGTCTCCTTCATTGCTCATGAGGTTGCCCTGGAAGTTGGTGGCAAAAATTCAGCGCCAGAATCCTAGTTCTTCGTTACCAACTGGTCCTGCTTCCGCTTCCCCTTAGGCCTCCCCGTTTGTTTGAACACCTTATTTTTAGCTGTAGTCTTTGCTTCTGCCCCTTCCTGTGAATTCCCTTCGTTCTCACTGCACTTCTTGTGCGCATCCTTTGTTCCTCAGCCAGGACGAGACCTCCTTGACCAGGTTTGAGTTAGCTCAGGTAAAGACTGTAACTACCCTCAGGGTACCTAGCCCAATAGGTTCATAAATCAGTTTTGAACATGGCTTCTAGGCAGGCACACAATGTCCAACTGCAGAAGGGCTATGAAGCAGATGGTTTTGACCTTGCCTCCTTTTCTGCTCCTGGAAGGTGTTTGATGTGCGATTGAATGGCCACGTTGTGGTGAAGGACTTGGACATCTTTGACCGCGTTGGGCACAGCACAGCTCACGACGAGATCATCCCCATGAGCATCAGAAAGGGGAAGTTAAGTGTCCAGGGGGAGGTGTCCACCTTCACAGGGAAACTCTACATTGAGTTTGTCAAGGTAAACGTCCTGCCCTGCCCTGCCCGCAGGACTGAGGAAGGGCACTGAGAGTGGGTGTAGGGGAAATGCTTGCTGCGGTGCTGACCACTGCTTTCCATTTCCTAGGGGTACTATGACAATCCCAAAGTCTGTGCGCTCTATATCATGACTGGGACGGTGGAGGGTAAGTCCTGCTTTTTTGCCTTTTTTTTTTTTCACTTGGGCTGCAGGATCTAGTTGTTCTCAGTGATGGAAATTGTCCAGTTCTGCCACTGCTCTCTGGGGAGCAGGGGGCTGCAGTTCATGCTTGCCCTTAACTTGAACTCTGCCAACTTGGACTTCTAAGGAGATTGGGCACTTGGTCATTTTGCTGAGAACCGTGTCCTCTCGTAGTGACCTGTGCAGCTTTGATGCTTGGCCGCTGTGGCTGAGCAGCTGGCTCTGAGGTGGAGGACCTGCAGCTGGAGGTCTAGCTGAGGGCATCCTCCCTCCCACCCTGGTATGTGTCCTAAGGGTATTTATTCTAAACAAAAAAACAACAATAACAAAAAGGATATGGCTGAGGGGAGTAATTTAGCTGGCCACTATTTTGGGAACACCTATTTAAAGCCAGATTGTGGGGAAGAGTGTCAGCATGGTGCTAGCCACACGCCAGCACCTTTGATCTGTGTTCAAATCCTGCTTCTTCATCAGCTGCTTGTGTCTTGAACAAACGTCTTGAACTTCAGTGTTAATTAAGAGCACTGATGGGTGCTGACCCTTATTGTTTGTAATCTCCTAAGATGAGTCCTTATGTGGTTTCTTTGTTTGACCTCTGTTTCCTGAGGGAAAGGTAGCAGGAGAGTCTGGATCTGCTGGCTAGGGTTATAAACCTTGCTCTTGTGGCTGCCTGCTTCAGGCTGGTTTTATCTGTGGTAGCTTTTCGCCCGGACCCTCCCTCTGTGCCTGTTCCCAGCTCACCCTGAGTGCCCTGAGACTCTTCTCTGGCTTTGTTGATGTGATGGGCTGTCTGGCCCAGGGTCTGGTCCACAAGCAGATTTGGGCCTGAGTGCTGAGGGAGTTGGGAGGGCAGAGGGCTCCTGTGTGCTCAGAACCCAGCACCGGCTTCACCTGCTGCCATCAGCTCCTGGTGGCTTGGTTGGTGGCTGTGTGACTGAAGGAACGGCCAAAGGGAGAAGGCAAGGGTGCAGGCAGCGAGGGTTCTGGAAATGGTTGGAGCAGGAGAGAGTGTTGAGACTGGCGACGCTGTGAAAAATGTAGTCAGTGTCACGAGATGGTTTGAGTAGAAATTGTGCAGTGTCCTTATTTGCTGGGTAAACTTTCACACACAAAAATAGGGTTTAAAACAAAACAAAAAAGGGACTGGGGTTTTGAGAGAGATCAGTAGGTGCTCCCCTGGGTTCTGAGAGGAGAACAGGCTGCCACTGCCTTTAGCTCAACCTGAAGGTGCTGCTGGTGGGTGCCTGGTAGTCGGTGGGCCCCAGGCTGGTTTGGCTGCTTGAGCTCTGTCCCGGGGCCCGGTCAGGCTCCCCAGGGATCTGTCTTGTGGTCTCACTTAACAGTTGTGGGTCTTCTTACGTGTGTTTACTTTCTTGTGTCAGATGTACCAAAGCTGCAGCCTCATCCAGGATTGGAAAAAAAAGAAGAGGAAGAAGAAGAAGAAGAATATGACGAAGGGTCTAATCTCAAAAGACAGACCAATAAGAACCGGGTGCAGTCCGGCCCCCGCACGCCCAACCCCTATGCCTCGGACAACAGCAGCCTCATGTTTCCCATCCTGGTGGCCTTTGGAGTCTTCATTCCAACCCTCTTCTGCCTCTGCCGGCTGTGAGAACAAATTAGCATCCTGACAGGGCGGAGGGGTGTGGGAAAGAAACCAGACACCTTGGTTTTGGTTTCCTTGTTTTTCACAATGATTGACAAACACAAACAGCGCCACACACGCGAAAATTAAAGGAGATCAAAAGAGGCTGAGTGAGTAGAGAGCAGCCCTCATCCACCACCTGGTCCTGGACCCCCTTCAGTCCCAGCCCTCTCTCTGCAGCTGGGCCCCAGCTGTGTTTTCCTGTCCAGGGTACTGAGGGCAAGACTGGATTGTCCGGTCCAGGACCCCAGTCTGTATGCCTAGTGGAGAGGACTCTGAACTCCCTTCTTCCACCTAGGCATTAGCACCAGGGCAGTGCCATCTTCTTCCCTGAGGAGATCAGGGCTGGGAGTCCAGTATGTTCTGCTGTCATGCCCAAGTAAGTTTCCCGGTGACCCAGGCTTGAGAGTACGTGTCTGCAACAGTGGAGCACTTGTAAGGTACACACACAGATGAAGGAGGGTAGAGAAAGAAGACTGGTCGCTGCCCTCGGGCTCGGCAGCCTTTCTGAGTGTCGCCCAGTAATGGCACCTGAGCTCCGCCGTCGTTGCCTCTCTGCCCGACGTGTGCCAATGAGAGGGCTGTCTGGTAGCCAAGACAACGAGCTTGTCAGGTCCTCAGGTTGCCTCCGACTTGTTGCCACAACAAATCACTTTGATTTCAGTGCCTGTTGGGGACTGGATTTCCTCCCCACCCCCTGAATCTGGCTCAGTTGCAATCTCCTCTCCCTTTGTGCCAGCCCCATTGAGTTCTTAGCAGGAGGGAAGGAGACGTGGGGACTTGGGATTCCTCCTGATTGAGTGTCTGGCCCTCTCCCGCCTCACCTCCTCACCTCGCTGGTACCTCCCGCCCCGGGTCTGTCTGAGCCAGCAGTTCTCTCAGTGGCCCCTCTGTCAGGCGGTCTTGCTGCCAGTGGGGGGTGCTTTCCAGCCTACAGCAACGAGACTCTTGACCTTAAAAGTCTCTCTGGTCTTTGGATTGGAAAAGGCTGATGTTAGCATAATTGAGGAGCAAGCTCATAGGCTTGAGGCCTACTAAGTGACTGGCTCCTGCTGTGAGTGACCGGTATCAGATATCCACTTGTCCCCTTGCCCTTCTCGATCCCTCTGTGTCACAGACACATCTTCAGTCCCGTTGCACTCAGTTTTGGTTTGTGCTTAGTGCTGCCCCAAGGAGCTAGCCTGACTGGCTGTCTTTGAACCACGGCAAGGCCCACAAAGTGTCTAGTCCCCGACCTGCTGCCCTTTCATGCCCTTTCCTGGGCAGCAGCTGGGCTCTTGGGGTAACGAGCCAAGAGATTGCCAACCCACCAGAGTCCTGGCCTCTCAAAGCACCCTTAGCACCTGTCCGTGATGCCCTGGGACGGTTTCTGCAGGAAGCAAAGCATCCCTGGCCCCCGCCTTTGTTGTCATTGTCACCCTTCCCTAGTTAGAGCAGCCGAGGAGGAGGGCCCAGGCAGGCTCCCAGCAACGTTGTGTCTGGGAGGCTGCAGGGTCCACATGGAATCTCAGACCAGGCCCCTCTTCTAGAATGTCTTTAGTTTTGAGTTTGCCTTACTGAATATTTTAAGACGTCGGTTAATTTGTCCTCCTCTCAGTGAGACAGGCCCATGCCCTGGTTTTTGGCTCTTAACGAGTTACTCCCCAGCCCAGATTGGGTGCTTGAAGAGTTGTAGCCCTTTCTGTGAGCTGGACCTCGGGCCCCAGGAGTAAGGTTATTGAGTCAGGCAGCCGGCCAGCTGTGGTCTGAGGCTGTAGTCAGTCCCCCTTCCGAGAACTGCTGGGGGAGTTGTTTTGGGAGGTGGGGGCGGTGAGGAAAGGATGAGGTCCTGGACCACCTGCCTGGGGTGGTAGACTTCTTGCCTATTAGAGCCTCGAGCCACTGCCAGTGCAGCGGGCAGGTGAGGAAGGACTCGCTGCCTCCCTTTTGCCTTGTTAGTAGTCGGGCCTCTCTGCCCAAGGAGGGGCCCAGCTCCCTCACCTCAACCCTGGAGGCTGCCTCGGCCACCTCCCCACGGTACTGTGAGCCCCACAGCTGGGCTTCTGCCTACTTCCAGGCCTCCCTCCCCCCTGAGCTGGGGGCGGGGGGCACTTTCCTTTGCGGTTGTCTTGGAAAGGAAGGAATATCTTCCTATGTTCACAACTCAAGGGAAGTGAGGAAATGGGAGGAAGTGTGTGGGGGCTGGGGCAGAGTCCCCTGGAGCCAAGCCCACCCAGCTAACAAGAGGGGCCTGGGGCTGGCTCCTCATGCTGAACTTGAAAGCTTTTTTTTCCCCTTCCCTTTTTTCTCCTCTAAGATCATATAGGTACATGAAGTGTGTAAAGGGGTGGGGTGGGGTGCCCTTTATTTTTATTTTTGTATTGTGTATGTTGAGAATTACTCTTGTTCATCTGTTGCTTTTCCCAACATTCATTGGAGTGAGTGCCGCATCTTTGGGGCAGGGGTGCTTGATGCCAGGATGGGGTGCTCCTCCAAGGGCCGTGCTCGGTCTTGGGACTGTAGACCCCATGGCAGATGAAAAGTGGATGGCCAGGGCGAAGCTCCTCCAGACAGCAGGGCTTCGGTTCCGCCTGCCCCTGGGGTGGGCTGAGGTCAGGGGCCTCATCTGGGCACTGCTGTCAGGAAGCTGCCTAGGCAGCTCACCTCCTCAACCTAAATTCATTTTGGCTGGAAAACAAAACAAAAAATGCCACTCCTCAGGAGAGGCTGGGTTATACTGGAGCCCCAGCCCCAGGGCGCCACCTGTTGCTTTGAGACAACGCTTCCCACTGTTGGCCTCAGAGACCCTGGCCTGCCACTGGGTGGTCCGATTGAGTTTGCTTAAGCCCTGAGATGGTGGGCTGGCCTCGAAGTGCAGTGTCCCTCCTCTCCAAGCCTGGGAACTGCTGGATCTACTTTTAGCTTTGGGGGTCGACTTCCTTGTCTGTCTGGAGAAGCTTCTGTTTTAAGGAATTTCTCTTCCTTCTTATCCTGCCTGTAGCCTCTCCTGGGAAAGCCTGACCATGGCTTGTAGAATCTCAGCCAAACTTCAGGAAATGGCAGCAGTGTCTTCCCTTTCCTGCTCTGTACTCTTCCTCTCCCTGGAAACCCACCCTCGGGAAAGCCCGGGGCTGAGCCCGAGGGCCCTCTGCCCTCGCCGGAGCCCCCAGAGTGGGGCAGCCCCTCCCGGCTGCACAGTGCCTTTTCCTCCTGCTCGGAGCCAGGTGGGCCTTCCCTCTCCCTTCAGGTCTGGGCAGGGGTCCTCCAGCCCACCACGGCTCTTCCCATCCTGCCCTCCCCGCCTCTGCTGGCCTAGTCTGACAAATCCCAGTGTCTTCTTGCCTCAAGGAGCCTGAATGGCATCAAGTGGGAACGTGTGTGACTTTCCTCCCTGCCTTTTCCAACGAGCTCCTAAAGGGCTTAGGGGAGCCCAAGTCATGCAGAGTGAGGGGCTCCTCACTGCTCCTCCCTCGGGGAAGGAGGCCTGACACAGAATCTGAAGCCCGCTTCTCTTCTCTGCAAAGAGCACCAAGAACTTGGCATAGAGGTGCTGAGAAAGTGGGGCCAGCTCCCTGGGCTGCCCTGGCTTAGACTCTCCTGGGGCAAGAGGGCTGGGTGTCCTCTTTGTTACTAGATTAGATTGGCACCAGGTGGTCAGCGCCCCAGCAAGTGTGCGCCTTTTCTTTGCCCCAGGTGACTCGCTGCCAATCTGGGCTGCCTTTCACTGAGTGGCTCTGTCTAGGCTGGCCTACTTTCAGGTGGCTGAGCCATCTTGATAAGAGCAGGTGATCCGGGGACTGGCTTGAGTTGGCAGTGTAAGAGCAGGCTGCATCCTTTGGGACAGGTCCCACCCTCCCCTCCCCCAAGAAGTGTAAGAACCAGGAGCCAGGATTGTGCTGGCAGCCGGGGAAACAGTAGTGCCTGTTGGAGTTGGCAGAGGGGGGCTTGGCACTGCCCGCACCAGGCAGTCTTGTGAGATGGGGACCTATCGCACCAAGAAAAAGCAGAGCTCTCTTCTCACCTCTATTTTGAGCTTTGGTGCTTTATTTCAGTCTGAGGAAAAACAACAACAAACTGAAGTGCTTTCCGTCCTTTTAAGGGACAAGTGTCGGGAAAGGAGACCCGAGCTGCCAGGTGGGTGGGGAGAATTGGCAGGGAGAGATGTTCTAACAAAACGAGGAAAGAGACATTCTCGACGCCTCTGTTCCCTGGTGTATTGTGATCCAAGGAATGAAAAGAAATTTGACCCTGGATTAGTTCCCTTCTCGGATGGAAGGGATGCTAACTTTTCCTCCTCCTAGGTCCTCCCAGGCTAGGACCAGCTGCCCCCTCAGAGCTCAGGACTGCCTCTTCACCCTTGACGGGCCTGACCGGCCCTGCACACTGGGGCTGGCTGCTCTGGTTGGTACCGAGGAGTGGAGACAGGGTCACGTTCCCAGGCGTTCTCGCATCTTCTACTCTGGTTGCCCATCCTCTGGCTGCCCAGAGCCCAGCCCCCGCGCTGTAGGCACAACACCTGTTTCCAGCGGCACAGCAAGGCGTGATGGGGAGGGCTTTGGACCTGCCTGGCCAGGGCAAGCCGTAGGGGTGGGTAGAGCTGTCTTTCCTTTTGGGCTGTCTCCATCTGTCCCTACCCCTACTATGACCCCCCCACCCCCACCAAAAAGGAAAAAAAAATCAGGATGTTTTTCACTGTCCATTGCTTTGTGTTTTAATAAACAATTTGCAGTGACACTCTTGCGTGGAGATTGAATTTGAATCATCCTGGGGAGAGGTCCGGGTGGGGGTGGAGGGGTGGGAGATCTGGGCTGTGATGGGCTCCCTGATGAGGAGGCCAGAGACATTTGTCTGTTGAGCTATCTGCCTCTTGCTTTTCTTGTCGTGATACATGGCCCAGGAAAAGAGACTCCGTAAAACCCTGTCTGGCCATTTCCACCGGCTGCAAGGTGAATGGGGCAGAAGTCGAGCTACCCTGGTTTTATTTCTACTTTCACAGCAATACCAGGCTGTGGCCCTGGGCCTGCTTCTCCCCGTCTCTCCCCTGGACAGACAGCCTGGGGAGACTTGTCTCTACTTCCTCCTTTGCTGGTGCCCTTATCTGCAATGGAAAGAACCAGAAAGGGTTTTTTTTCTTCCTTTGGTTTATCACCCAGTTTTACAACTGAGGAGCACGAAGCCGGACGACGGTTTCATAATCTACCCAGGCTGTTCAGTATCTGGTCAAGCCAAGTATCAAACCCAGTCTGCCTCAGAGCCCATGTTCTTTTTGAGGCTTTGTAAGTAATAGTGATAATAACAACCCATTGTCAAGTCCATTCTGACTCATAGCAACGTACAGGATAAAGTAGAGCTGCCCACTGCGTTTCCTTAGCGCTGCTAACCACAAGGTGGTCAGTTCAAACTCACCAGTTGCTCTGTGGGGGAAAGAGGAGGCTATCGCTCGCTCCTCAAGATGTACAGCCTTGGGGAAACCTCATATGAGTTAGAATCGCTTTGATAGCAGGTTGGGGTTTGGCTTTTCATCTTCATGGAATCAGGCTGCCATGCCACATCTCTCCCATAGAGCAGCTTTTGGGTCTGATGTCCCGACCTTTCACCAGAATTCCTTGTAATCATTCTGGTTATCCTTTATCAAAATGGTCCCAGTACAAAGCCAAGTTCTCTGCCATCACCAGGAAAAGAAGTAGAGCAGCAGTTCTCAACCTGTGGATCGTGACCCCTTTGCGGGTCGAATGACCCTTTCACAGGGGTCGCCCAATTCGTAACAGTAGCAATATGACAGTGACGAAGTAACAACGAAAATAATTTTATGGTTGGGGGGGTCACCACCAGTGAGGAACTATTAAAGGGTCGTGGCATGAGGAAGGTTGAGAGGCTTTGCAAAGGAGAAAAGATTTTCCCAAGGCCACACAGCCAACAGAAAGCATTCAGCACTTCGGTTCTTTTTTTTTTTTAGGGGGGGGGGCGTTGTTATACTGACTCCTTATCAGTATGTTTGTTGTGTTGTTGTTTTTTGTTTTGAAATCATTTTATTAGGGGCTCATACAACTCTTATCCCAATCCATACACACATCAATTGTGTAAAGCGCATTTGTACATTCATTGCCCTCATCATTCTCAAAACATTTTCTCTCCACTTAAACCCCTGGC